TTTTATTTCGTTTAAAATCATCATTATTATCATTAACAGATGTTGAACCTGAAGATGAACAATGATTTATTTCATGATTTAATAAAGATGATGAAGTTGATGGTGAAATTGAATAAGAATGTTCATGAAGTGTTGATGATGTTGATGATTGAAGTAAATGTGTAAAATCATTAAAATAAAGTAAAGGAAGTGTTGATGTATTAGAAATTTGTTCATCTGATCGATGAGAATCCATTGAACTACAAATACTATTTTTACTACTTGTATTATCATCTATAGATACTTGTATAAGTTGTTTTTGATTATTATCTAATGATGATGTTGATGATGTTGACATTTTTCTTATACCTAATTTATGTTCAGCTGCTTCAGCATTTGATATATTTTCTGCTTTTTTCCATTTTGTACGACGATTTTGAAACCTAATATTAAATTGTAAAAAATATTCATTTTAATTGTTTTTATTTTTTTTATAGTCTTAATTTTAAATAAAAATATACCAAATTTTAACTTGTGTTTCAGTAACTGTAAGTAATGTTGCCATTTCAGCACGTTCAGTTGATGATAAATATTTTTTATCTTCAAATTTTTTTTCAAGTTCAAATATTTGTTTACCTGTAAATGTTGTTCGAGCTTTTTTCTTTTTTTTCTTTTGTATATTAATTAATAAATCTTCATTATTATTTGTTAAAATTGATTGACAATATTCTTCTTTATAACTTTTTATTGTATCACCAAGTATATCATTAATATAAAAACTTGTTATACGATTATTTGTTCGTGGAATTTTTGGTAATAAGTTTATCGATGAAAAATATTGTTGATGATAATCATTTGTTGATATTGGCATTATAGACATTATTGAAAACGCAAAAACAAAGGACAAAAATAAAAAGAAACGAATATAGAAGTCAATCTGAAGAAAACTATTTCGAGTAATGAGCACTTGATGTCAACGTATAAGCCTTTTATTTAGACAATTAACAAATTATCAGATGTATATATATATATAGATAACCTAGCCTGAAGGAATCTTGAGAGAAACAAAAAAAACAACAAGAAACAAAAAGAAAAGAAATTCCTATGGATTTGTATTATGATTAGGGAATCAATTTAATTCCTTGATGAAATAATCGATTAACAAATAATTAATAAACTATCCATTCTGTATGTCTGTTAAAACTTACTTTTATATTTGACCTCACTTCACCTACGGCATCTTTTACTATCAAAATTAGTCATGCGCGAGTACAGAGAGAGAGAGAAAGAGAACTAGGAAAGAATCGTCATTATTATCATCATTACTCCCTTGCTCTTTCTCTCTTTTTCTGATTGCTAAAACTCACACGTGTCAAATTACAATTGTCAGGTGTACAAGAGACAAGAACGATGATAATAATGCTCTATTTGTCTTCAATGAGCATCCAGCGGAAAGTTATAGAAGTTAAATGAGTTCTGGATTTTTTTTTCTCTCTCTCTCTTCTTTGTCAAAACCACTAATTGAGAGTCAAATGATAATGATGATCATTTCAAATTACCATTCATGCGAAGTACTATATAGAAGACAAAAAAAAAAAGGAAAAAAAAAAGACTAATGATAATTTATGCTGTGGATGACTAATTCAATCTTATCTCTTTTAACATATGTAATCATCGATTAACGAGAGGTATTATTCAACTATATATATATATATATATATATATGTAAGAAAAGCCTATTAGGATAATGATTATATCGAGTCCTGTCGTCTTTTTTATTTGTAAGTGTTCTCTATTTGTCTGCTTGCAGGTGTACAAAGTCCTGCCCTTGTCTTTTACTAGTTTAGCTATGGTTTTTTTTACCTCTACTATCTAACTCATCATTGTTGTGTATATGTTTATTTTTCCTTGTCTGTTTCTTTTTTTTTTTTTTTTTCTTTTTATATTCACAACGCACAATCAATTTGAGAGGAAGTATGAAAGAGTTGTTACTCGAGCAGCAATTAGAGACATTAAATAGGTTCCGCTTTGGCACTCTACAACATTGTCATCATCGAATGACAGACAGACAGACGACATAAAAGACAAGAAGATATGGATGCTATTACTTGGTGTGATGCTTAAAGCTTCTCACTCATCTTTTTACTTTTTTTTTTTTCCTCACTTATATCGTGTTCTATTGTCTTTTTACTATACTCAAGTAATTATAATACAATCATCTAGTCTATCAATTAACGATATAGACAGTTGAATATATCAAAAGAATATCTAATGCATATATTTTTGCTTAACAAAAAAAAAAAAAGAAGCCATTCAACTTATTCATCAAACTAAACTAATAATGACAAACTATCAAAAGAAAAAAATGAAATTCAAAATATAAAGATGAATTCTTGTTGAGTATATATATGAATAAATAAATGAGAGATATACATACTTTATCTAATGTTTTTTAATTGATAACTAACTATCATTTATACCAGAAAATGAAATTCCAACTGTATGAAACCATTAGTAACTATGCAAAGAATCTCGACATGTATACAATTGATTAATATGAAGAATGGATGGTTTCTTTTTTTTTTGTTTTATTTTTCGAATGATGAATCTATTCGTACTCATTTCATATAGATAGGGGAATGAACAAAAATATGATATGAAAACAATACTGATAACAGAATATAAAATCATATAAAGATATCTTTCAATAATGCCAATTATCTTTTATTCTTCTTTTCAACAAGTTTGATTAATAGAAGAACAAAAAAAAAAAAAGAAAATGAACATGATCTTACATAATAAATATCAGTCTATTTGACATGAATATATAAAATAAACTAGTATCATATCATTTCGAGCTAATCATTATTGATCGATTGTTGGTATGATTATTTAGAGTAAGAAAAAAAAAAAAACAAGTAGTGTAAAGGGATTATATCAAGGGCTATTCTTTGAAGAATGAATGTCGATGCACTTTATCATGTCGACAATATTTAGATTACTTCATACATACCATATGGAATGATATGCTGTCTTTTATAAACTAATATGTATGATAAAAGAAAAAAGATTACAATCTATTTAAACAGACTAGTTTTTTTTTTTTAATGAGGTTCTTTTTATTATTAATATTCTTAAGCGTTTTTTTTCATAGTCATCATGCATGATATTCATGTAACTACTGTCATCAAGATTGACATTAAGTTATTAAGACTTTCTGCAAGAAAAAAAAAAAAGTAGAACACAATGGATGTGACAATTTTAAAGCCATACAAATGAGATATGATTAATATAATTAGACTTTATTTCCAAAAATATCTAATTAAAATTTTAAAATAAAACAAAAATAATTATTAAAACTTGATTTTTTATATTTGATTAATTCTTGAATATTTTATTTGTTTGTTTTATTTTTGTTTTGGAAATATTAATTATTTAATATTTATTATTTGTCGATTGATATCTTGACAACATAATCATAGATAACAGATAACTTATTTATAACACAATTTTAGATTTAGAATAAGATTAATTATTCGGATCATTTGGTTCTTTAAAATTAGGTCAAATTCTTACTAAAATTTTTTACGTATAAATTATTATTATTATTATTATTTATTAATTAATTAATAGAAAAATTAACACATCATAGTTAAATATTATTTTGTTTTCGACACAAAAATGAAAATCATTGATTATAAATTAATTCTGCTCGATCAATTGTAAAAAAAAAAAAAAAGAAACAGTCAGTTTACATTCAATCAAGATTGATTCTCATGAGTAATATGACACGATATAATCATCGTAGAATATTTCAGCACGAGCATATATATATATATATATATATATATATGTATATATTTATATTTATGTATGTATATAGGCTGAGTTAGTACAAATAACACATCGTAGACAAAAAAGGAAACCTATTAAAACTAACACATTTCTTTTTCTTTCATCAAGTCATTAATATTGACATTTGTTTTCATTCATTTTTTAACTTTTTTTTCTTTCTCTTAGATAAAATAAATGTTTGTATTGATCGTTCCTCGTATTCGGCAATGAATAGTTATATTTCTATTGGATATTATGTCTCAAACAATCATTAGGTTCTAAATAAAAAAAAAAAAAAAAAAAAAAAAGAAGAAAAACGAGTATTGGCACCCGAACAAATAGACAAAACATATGTTAGGCAAAGTTAAAAGAGTCGGAAATTATTTCTGTATATGTGTTAAGAGAACGAGTAAGAGATATAACTGTCTATACATAATTACCAGTTAGTTTTTACTATTGATTTACTTTGATGTTCATTATTTCTAGGTTATTCGTATATATGTATTCAATCTTCTCTTATTTCCTGTAATGACTCCATTTGGAATGACATTTGATAAGATTCGGATGATGTCAGTAGCCAAATGATGAGAATATGGTCTATTAACGATTGACATTCATTGTTTTTTGTTTTCTATGGATCTTTTTGCAGTTATACTTATTAGTATAACAATATTAACAATTTGTGGAATTTGCCTTTTTATATTAATTTGTGCATTACAACCAAAAATTATACGGTTAGTTTGAAAAACAAAATAAAATAATTACTTTTATTTAATAGCGAATATATAGATATCATTTTTTGTTTCTTTCAGTTATTTTCATCGAAAAACAAATAAAACATATTATATTACATCTTCGAAAAAAGAAAACGAAATTCAAAATGATTTCAATATGAATAATTTTGATTTAACTACTAAATCCATATCAGATGACTTAGATAAACGAGCGTATTTAAAAATATTAGAACGAAGTGTTAGAACAGGACGACGAATACAAGATGAAAAAGACAACAAAAATCATACTACTACTACTACTAATAATAATAATAATAATCCTCATCTAGATTTATTTTATTTTCCTGGTCAATGTATGAATAAAAATTCATCTTCAACAATAACTAATATATCAAGAAGTATAGAAATTTGATTAGAAATTAAGACAAAATGATAAAAAAAAAGAAGAAAAAGTTATTGATTATCTTCTTGCAACCAAGGTAATGGTACACTTAAATCAATATTGCCACCACATAAAATAATACCTACATTACGAATATTTGGATCTAATTGATCAAAATAAGTTAATAAAGCACCAAGTGATAATCCAGCAGCAAGTTCAATAACTAATTTAAGTCGTTCAAATGCAAATCGTGTTGCATTAATCATTATTTTATCGGATATAACAAATACTTGTTTTTCAACTAATGAACACATTATTGGAAATGTAAGTATACCACATTGTTGTAAACGACATGCTTACAAAAAAATGTATATTTTTAAGCAAAAAAAAGAAAAAGGTTTTTTTGTTTTTCAAATACCTTCACATTTTGTTTTAAGAAATTGAGAAGGTTCAGGCCATAGACGTTTTTCTTCTTTTAAACATTCTTCAAGCATTTTTCCTTCAGGTACACATGCATATATTCGAATATTTGGATTAATACGTTTAGTATATAAAGCAATACCACTTATAAGACCACCACCACTTACTGGTACTAAGATTGCATCAAGATTAGGTACTTGGTCAAGAAGTTCAACGGCAATTGTTCCTTGACCTAATTATTCAACAAAGAAAAAAAAATAAAAGAATTTTCGATTGAATTAAATCATTCTTCAATATTCACTTACCAGCAATAACATCTGGATGATCAAATGGTGGTATAATTAAAAAACCACGTTCTTGACTAATTTGTAAACAAACCGATGTTCGACTTGCTGGTATTGGTTCACAAATAACTATTTCTGCACCATAATTTTCAATAGCATCTAGTTTATTTTTTGGTGTACCTTGGGGAACAACAACAACACATGGCCGTTTAACAATTGATGCAGCATAAGCTAATGCTTGTCCATGATTACCGGATGAATGTGTAACAAAACCTTTTAAATTTGGGTCAACTTTCATTGCATTAAGTACAGCATTAAGAGCACCACGACTTTTAAATGAACCTGTACGTTGAAAATTTTCACATTTTAAATAAACATTTCTTCCTGTTAATGTATTTAATAATGTACTTGTTAGAATAGGTGTAATTGGTAATGATATAGAACGAAGATGACTTGCCGCTATATGAATTTCAGCCAGACTAGGTATTTCTTTTTCATCCATAATCAATATTAAATATTCTTGAAACAAAACAACAACAACAACAATCAAAATATTCGTTTTTTTTTTAATTTCTTTTAAATATTTGACTGCTAATGTCTTTGTTTTTTTCTTTTCTCAATACACACGCACACACCATATAAGCGCATAACAAATGATATCGAAAACGAAAAATATGACGAAACATAAAGATAAAGAAAGGAAAAAGAAAACTAATGTTTGTGAGAACAGGTACAGAAAAAAAAAACGAGCTATAGACAAAAAACAAATCAAAAAGAACACAATACACATATTTATTTTTAAAAATTCGACAGATACTAAATCGTTCTCATCATTGTTTTTTTTTCTATTCCAGGATAATAATGGGTATATTCTATGTATATGTATATATATATATTTTATTTTTTTGTGCATGTGTTTTTATCAGTCTTTTATATACAAATTTAATTAACCTAGACTGTTCTCTGAAAATGTTATTCGGTGGTTTTATATTGTTTTTTCTTTTTTTTTTTTTTTTTTATACAATAAATTAAAAAAGCCATTGCGTCTTTCTTTTTGTTTCTTTTCTCCGCTTCAAACAAAGCAATACGTTCAAGCACAGACAATAGCAGAAAAAATTAGAAAGAGAATGAGAGAGAAAGAAAAAAAGAGCATAAGCAAAAGTTTTTTTTTTTTTTTGTAATAAACAAGTTGATATAATTGACAAGAGAAAAGAAATTATTTGAAATACAATGATACATGCACACACACACACACACACACACGCGCACTCAATAACAATGAACAATAGAGAATAACGGCAAGATTTATCCATTGTATCGTTTAGTAGGGATAAACAGTGAATCTTTTTCTTTTTATTTGTGTAGTTATTGTTTTTTCCTTTTTTACCAACACCAAAATCACTGTACAAAAAGAAAAAGATAATGAGTAGATATAAAGATATCGAACCGATTTGACAACACTAAAATTAGAAAATAAAAAACAAATATTAAATATAGTTTTATTATGTATTAATATTTGTATTTAGAAATGTTCGACAAAGAATTAGTTAGACTGGAAGTGAGCAAAATCATGTTTTTTCCGTGATTATAGACAACTACAAGGTTATTTTGCCTCAAGAGACAATCACACCAAATTTTTTTTTTTTCTCTATACACAAAACCCAGAAGGATCACAGTTCTCTGACAAACGAATTCACTTTCTTCGATAAAAAGAAAAAATCTCAGGTCACACAGGTCTGAACACAATGACTAAGAATTTGAGAAAGAGAATAGTATTGATGTTTCTCTATTTATATCCCTCGATACATGTTATATTAATCGACTATTATGATGTGGCTTTGTGTGCTGTCAGCTAATAGAGATTTTTGTCTTGCATGTTTATTAGGAATTATCAGACTGACCTTCATATTTAACCTAAGGAGACAAACAATTAAGTTAGAATGAAATCTCATGATATCGAAGATCCATATAACCTAAAGCAAATTTATTAATCTTTCGACATTTAATCCTTCTACTATGAATAATCAAAATATACGATCATAATATTTCTTATTGAAATAATAATTTATTTTATTGTTTATTAGTTTTTCTTTCCTTTAACATGAGTTGTAATTTGTGACCTTTTTTTTTCTTTCTTTCCTATTAAACAAATGAGATTATCTATTAACTTACATGCCGTATATGATGTATTGAACTGTTCTTAAGCAAATAATGCCGTTATAAAAAAAAAAAAAAATTATTTTCTCGTTTGTTTATTATTTGTACGTCTTGTACGACGATTGAAAAAACAACAACATCTAAATTAGGATAAAAAAAAAAAAGAAAACCAAAATTTTCAATAATTATTTCATTTCTTTGATTTATGTCTTACTTTGTATCACTAATAACATCAACATTAGCTGGAGATGATGATGTAATAATATGTGCATGTTCTCGATCAGCACGATCAGTATCTTCATCAGGTGAACTTATTAACTAGAAAAAATATTTATTTCATAGAATTAAAAATTAAATTTAATAAAAATAATAATAAGCAATAGCGATTATTAAACTATGCGACATTCATTCTATAGGGACGGGTAGACAGACGATGACATAATTAAATACCTGTAATGATCCATGTACTTGTTGTGTTGATGGTGAAAGATGAGTATTTAAAAATCCTGAACCAGTTTTGCCCGTCTGAGAGAAAGAGATAGGATGGGAATGTTGTTTTTTTTTGTTTTTGTTTTAAATAGATTATCTGATTTTCATAGATTAATATATTCTTTTTGGGAAAGAAGCACTTACTTTATTTAATTGTCGTGCTGCTGGACTAGAGGATGTTTCCGGTTGAGTTGATGTTGGATATTGAGCATTATTAGCAGAAGCCTATTATAAAAAAAATAAGAAGTATTAAAATAAAAAGAAAAAAGTTTTTTTCTTTTTTTTTTTTCATTTAATACTTTATTTGTTAATTTTTGCATTTTTTCTACCCAATCAAAATTATAATCACAAGCATAATTTCTAGCATCCATTAAATCTTTGAATAATTTTCTCAAATATTCATACTAGATACAAAAACAGAAAATAAAGAATTTGAAAAACAAAAAATTATATATTCTTACATTAGGAGTTTCAAAAAAATCTAAATTTCGTACATATTTTAAATATTTAGCAAATTCTTCTAAAAATAAAAAAAGAAAATTATTATTAAAATGTAAAATTTATTTTTATTATTTACCAGGTTGACTCTGACATAATACATCAATATGAGTTGCACGTTTAGTATCACCTATTTTTTGATAACGTTCTTTCAATGTTTCAGCTTTTAATCCTTGCCACTAGAAAAAAAAACAAAATGATTTTCATAGATTAAAAACTTAATATATAGTTAAGAATTTCCTATAAAAAACAGATTAGATGTCAGACAAAATAAAAATACTGATTTTGTTATGAAAAATATTTCTATCGTGTTTTTATTTAAAGGGCAATGAATGGACACCTATCACTTCATACTATCTGTTTAAACTTAGTTAAATTTCATTAATGATCTTAGTAAGAAATCTTTTCAATTGATGACATTGAGCAATCTATATTAAAAAACAGTCTTATCCTTGAAAAATCATTTTTGTCAAGATAAACTTATTACAAATATCTCAATGGCATTATAATTCATATTTCATTTTAAATATAATACAATTCAACTTAGTAACATTTTAGAATTCGAATATATATATATAACAAATCATACCGGTAAACTACCACGTAAAAAATACATAAACATATGCCCCAATGCTTCTAAATCATCTCGACGACTTTGTTCTATAATAAAAAAAAGAAAGAAAAATTATTTTAATATTAAAATAGAAATCTAACCTTTTCCAAGATGAGTATTAATACTCATATATCTCGCTGTACCTAGAAAAAAAGAACCAACATGAATTTTAAAAAAAACTCAAAATATTATTTTATCGTAAACAAACCCGTTAAACTTTTATGTTCCCGAAATGGTATATGTCGACCGGTATCAGGATCGATATATTCTTTAGCTAATCCAAAATCAATAATATGTATCAAATGTTGTTTACGTGTAGATGAACGTCCAATAAGAAAATTTTCAGGTTTAACACTTCAAAATAATAAAATATGAATTTTCTTTATTTTTAAAATTAATTTTAAAAAATAAAATTTACTCTCGATAAATTAAATTTTTTGAATGAACATATTCCATACGTGTAATCTAAATAAGTAAAAAAAACAAATTTTATCTTCTCATATGAATATATTTTTATACTAATTGAATAGCGATCATAAGGACGGTTTTAAGTGAAAATTTTCGATCGCAATTATCAAATAAATCTTCAAGAGATGGTCCAAGTAATTCAATAACTAAAGCATTATATTTTCCACATGGTCCAAAATAATGTACTTGTGGAATTCCTTCTACATTAAAAACAAAAAATTGAAACATATATTTCATAGTTTTCTATTTATTAACAAACCACAATTTCCAAGTTGTCGATAAAATCGATATTCAAGATGAAGTTGTGGTGCACGAGATTTCATAGGTTCCTTGAAAATAGAAAAGATAAAATCGTTCAATTTCATACATTTATCGTTTTCTTTTTGTTAAATTAAACTTACTAATTTAATTGCTACATGTTCATTATTATACAAATTTTTTCCTAAACGAATTTCTCCAAAATTTCCAGCTCCTATACGTTTTCCTACACGAAAATTAGGTCCAACCATAAGCATAGCATTAGGACCGGAACTATTTGTAACAACATTTGGTGCTGTTGGTGTTTCATTCAATTTTTCTACTGTATTTGTTGCTAAACCTGGTCCACGTCCTGTACGTTGATCACTTTCTATAATTGATGTTTGTAAACCCGATACAGTTTGTTTTAAATTAGAATTACTTTGATTTATTATTTCATTTTCATCCATTCTTATCGTAATATAATAAATAAAAATGTTGACACCATGTATTCTGAAGAGTAAGAAAATATAATTAAATTAAAACAAAAATATAGAACAATCTAATGTAAACATTGGTGATGATATGATTTTTTCTTTTTGAGTACAACTCTAAGAATGCAACGATACTCGACTAATCAATCATTGAATTCTATGGACCAATAATACATTTATGGTACAAAAAAATAGAAAAAAAACGATTGCATAGATGGAGTTATACTACTTATTAATGACATCTATTTGAACGATCAAATTCAATGCTTGGTAACAATATATAATCGTTGATGTAAATGAAAGAAATGTAGAAAAATTTATTTTTGTAACAAAAACGCGTGCCTTAAAAGTGAATTATGACTGATAATATTAATAAATTATCACAAAATATTGATGGAAACAAACAGCAACAGACGGCTGCTTCTATTGTTAATTTGACAGATGACGGTAAGCTGTAGTAATTTTTATATTTTTGTTTCGAATCATCTGTTGTACTAAAAAAGAGAACAGACAAAATATCACCTTCAAATAAGGTACTTGTATCAAGATGTCTGATGTCTTTTATAGACAAGACAAAAACATAAGTCTGTTTCTTGGCGATTATTTAAATTAAATTTTTTTTGAAGATTTTTAGTTTTTCAACGAAAAACCTATCTCCGTTAATTTTTATTGAATCGATCAATTGAATTATTTGAGGATAATTAAAAATCGACCATTTTTTCAATATTTATTTGAAAGATGAAACCTTATGTTAATCTTGTGACGTCTTTGATCAATCGATAGCGACACTTTTAGAGATGCGAAAACGCAATAGCAAGAAATCTTTTTTTTTTCTTTCAAGTGTGTTGTTATTTATAATGATTGGCGTTTTTTCTTCAAGGATAGTACAATATTTAAAGAATATATTTATTAGTAAATTTTATCATTTATATTTTACATCAATATAAACTAATAGTTTTTCTTAGATAATACTAAGATATAGTTATTTTCTGCTTTGTTGAAAATAACGGAACTTTCTACCGGAATGAATGTATCGAAAGTTTTATTCATTTTTGATCTGCATGAAAATAGAGTCGTGCGAATGGGATCAAAATGTTTTAATGTTCTTTATGAAGATGAGTTCAGAATATTTCATTGAACGACAAATAAACAGATATTTATTATGTGCGCAAGTCGTTTTGAACAAGTGTTAAGAACGGTTCAACGGATTTATTTTGTAGAGCACATAAGTCTTTGCAATGTATGATGTAGAAGTAAAATTAGGAAGATTTTCTCAAAAAGCTATTTCGACATAAAAAAAATTCGATCTATGAAAAATAACAATGATAGATATGTGAAACAAAATTTCAGCATTCTCAATAGGAAACGTTTCTAGTTTAAACTAATTTTTAAATGCTCTCAAAGTTTCTTTTACTGCTTATCAAAAAAAAACAAAATACGACATTTCTGAATTCATTTTCGGTTTCGGCATATTCGTTATTATAAAAATTTAATTAAGGATCTCTCTCAAAAATCGCATGAAATTTTCGGGAAATATTCAATAAACAAGATTGAAAAAATAGTTTATTTAACCGTTTGAAGTTCTCTTTAGGCACTCATTCGATACATTTTTATTTGAAAGAGCATGCGAACACTGCAATGCCGATTTTTTGTTTTTCATTCTTACTTTTTATGCGAAGGAAAAGGATGACAAATACAATACTTTGAAGAATGATCATCTATTTATAGAAATAGTTTTTTTTTTATATGATAATAAAAGCTTTATTAAAAAAAGAAAACCAAATACTGCAGCTTCACATGCTCTTTGAACAAGTAATTAGCTACAATGAAGTTCCTTTTGAAAATTGTGCGATGATCAGTTAGAAAAGCTTATTTTTGCTTTTTATCATAGATGTGATTAAAATTTGGGATGCAGTATCAGCATTTATTGAATCTTATATGAAACAATCAAAAGTAAAATAAATATTATTTTTAATTTTTTTTTTTTATAAATTTTAATTAAATATAAATCAATTAGGGTATTATTATTCCTGGTTTTGGTACATTTAGTTTTATACATAAACGTATTGATGTTGGAAATAATAAATTTTTACTTATTCAACGACCTGCTTTTGTTTTATCAGAAAAAGTTGCACAAACACATAGTTTAAAATATACACATTATCCTATAAATGGTTCAATACCAATTCATCCATTAAATTATTTTTATATACAAACACAAACAATATATACACGTGATCAAATTGAACAATGTGTTAAACATGTTTTACAAGTATTTAATCGTTCTATAGTTGCACAACGTAATGTTGAATTTACATTTTCACATATTGGAAAATTACATATACGTAATGGAAAAGTTAAAATGAAATTTTTTAAAGATTTTATTAATTCAGTTGATGAAAATGGTGGAAAACATATCATTGATAATATGTGCAATGTAAGAAACAAAAAAAAAAACAAAATTTTTCATCAAAAGTGAAAAATAATTATTAATTATTTAGAGACCACATACATGTGATTCAGTTATGTCTGAACGAGAAGCAACTCGACCACCATCATCTTCAAATGTTATTCTTCCACGGTATGTTATTTTTTTTTCAATTTGTAATTTATTCAGATCATAGTTCTAGTTGAAATTTTTCCAAACAAAAAAATTCAATTGAATTGAAAGATAAGCGTAATGCTCATGTTGAGTATAACAAAAAAAGAACGAGCAAAAGTAAATTCGTTAAATGAAAATATGAGCGTACAAATATCAGCTGTTAAATTCTGTTGTTAGGAAAAGAATGTACGTCAAATGCTGAAAATTAAAAAAAGAAGGGATTTAATTGTTAACAATCATAACAAATCGGTCTAATTCGAACTTTAATAAATTCCACTGTGACAAACTTAATTTCCATTCATGGCATTTTCAAGTTCCAAGTGTTGTTCATACTCTATTGTTTTTTAAATATTGTAACGCCACATATATGAGGAGGAAAAAATCGCCGAACAAAATTTTTTCGGTTACAAGCAGTTGTGATCGCGCTGCTCACCAAAATCGTGTTATGATGATGACCACTTCTGCTGGTATTTAGGACTACTGCCACCCTCCATCTTGTTTTTAGGTGTAGCGCACGTCTCTGTAATAGAAACAAACAAACAAAAAAATATTGATCGTTAACTGATGGTATAGAAATAAACAATTTCATTAAAAAAGAAAATCATTTTATTTTTTGAGTTTAAACAAACTTCAGTGTTTACCGACAGATTGACAAAATAGCGTGCATGAAGATAAAACAGTTTTATCGGTAATTATCATGAAGACTTCCTATCTGCAGAACTTTCAGATATTTTGTATCATGTTCTACTGTTAAAATATTTTAAATAATATCTCAATCATTCAATTTTCTTGTGAATTTTGCATATGATCTGAATGTATCTCCAAAGTTTCAGAATACTTCAAGACTGAAGTCTTCGCTGTTTTTTACTCGGTTAAAAAGAAGCTCTTGATAATCGGAGAAAAGAAAAGTAAATCATGAAAATATACTAATAACTATACAAAATTATGCATTGTACTTAAATATAGAGATGTGAAGTAAAGCATGAGTTCAAAAATTTACATACCGCCGAATCTGAGTGTGTATGTAGATTAATACTCTATCAGATTCTTCTCCAGAAGACGCAAATTTGTTATACTTTATTTTTATGCCGTATGTGTAATTTTAATTTGTGCATCTTCAATTTATATTTGAAAAAAATTTGAATGTTATAAAACACCACAGTCAATATTCTCAAAATAAAGAGCAAACTAATATTCATAAACTATCTATGTGGTGTATTTCATCCGGAAAATTCAAAAATGAGACATATCCACTGCCATTCATTTGACTTTGATTCTTTATAAGGATTATTTTTTTTGAATAAATTCTTTTAGCATAGACATATATAAAAATATTGTTTCTTTCAGCAGCTGACTATTCCATTGAAAGCTAATCTTTTTTACTGATAACTTCTTTAAACAAAGATCTCTAGTGTTGATTTTTTCAAAGTATTTAGAGTAACTTAGCATACATGTAACATATAAAAATTTGTTCGCGAAAAGTTTATTATTACAAGATACATGTGTTTTAATTTTGCGAAGTCACATCTCTTAGGAATAATTTGATATCAATAGAAATCATTGTTGATCCTTATTTTCTGTATAGACTCAACAGTCGTATTGGTAATTCATCAATGCAAGTAATTCAAGAAGAAAATCAAATTGATGATGAAGATCAAGAACAATTACAGCAAGGTAAAAATAAGATAATTTATTTATATTATTTGTTTTATACAAAAACAAATTCTTTCTTCATTTCATACAGATATTATTCGAGTTAAGAATGATGATTTTAAATTACCACCTCTTACTGAAACATCGGGAGGTAGAATTTCTTGAATGTACACATATTGATTTTCTTTTTTGAATATCACCTATTAAATAACATCAATAGAAAATAGTAAACTATATTCTATTTAGCATTTAGTTTCCGGAAAAAAAGAAATTAGTCTACTATAGAACGGAAATAAGAAGAAAGAAAACGCCGAGTTCTGTGCTTCGTTTATTCTTTTCTAATTTCTTTTACTCATTGTAATATTACTCCTTTTTGATTGCACATATGTTTGATGTCAAAAAGAAATCTGTTCGTTGTCAATCGTCTATAGGACGATTTGATTATTCAAATCAAACAATTTTATTTCATTCTTACATAGAACCAATGAATTCTACAACAACATCATTATCATCAAATGTAATAAAAACAACTGGTACAGGAACTTCAATAGATGGTATTGTTCCAATTGCATCACTTTTTTCTTCAACGGATTTTGTTCAACCATCTACAACAATTAAAAAAACTCCACCACCACCACCACCTTATACTCCAATGAAACGATTAGTATCAGTTCATCAAACTGAACAAGAAAATGAACAAACATCAATGTAAGATTGAGAT